AATTGGAGAGGAAGGACGGGAGCATACGTGAAGCTCCGGGGGGTCAGATGTGACGATGGGGGTAACGTCGGGAACCGGTGTTTGGTTTCTGAATCGGCGGCTCGTTTGAGCTTCCCACGCTGAGCAGAGGGTCGATGACCAGGGGTTGAACCACACGAAGTCGCCCGCGGCTGGGTGGTTTCGACCAGGGGAGAAAGAGGGACGTTGGCGATTGAAGGATCGAGAGGAATTTTGCGGAGGGACACAGTCCCAATCCACGCCCTCGATCGTATCAAGGAGGGAGCGTATTTCGCGATTGAAATCAGAGCCACCCAAAGGGACAGAGAAGTCCAATTGACGCATTTGTGCTATCAGCTTCGCGGGGAGGTGCCACAGACGCCAGCAATCGTAGGTCTCCCACAAGAGGGTCGCAGCTACTTTGATGCACCACTCTGTGAGGAATACCACCCATAACCCGTGTTGCGGATCCCGCAGGTAGCTGCCATAGTACGTGAGTATGGGTCCTATTTCAGCCCAAAAGCCTTGACTCGCCTCGTACTGGCTCCACCATGAGGGGATGCGCTGGTAACGACTTGCATAATGCTGACGGGAAATCTCTCGCGCCTTTACCATTTGGTAGCCGATGAAGTACGCTGTATCAGACCGAATACGCCGTTCAAAACGCACTGTGTTCTGAAAGAAAAAAATACCCTCGCGTTTTAAATGACCGAAATTCGAAGGGATAATGGGTTCGGTCCAGAAGATGGCATCGGATGTGACAGTATGTCGGTTTCGCCACAGGCGATCCGCCTCGGCGGCAGGGTCACCAAAGGTGATATCAATGAGATTGTCCAAATAGAGGCGTTCGACCTCTGTACGACAACGCCAAGTGTCGCAACCGTATGACGAGGGTATGAGGGTGTCGGAAATGGGGATGGCAAGCAGAGCGAATACGGTCTCCATAAATCGCAGGGAGAGAGTGGGACGGCCCCGTGGGGGAGGATGACGTAGGATAGAAGTCGGAACTGCTATACGGGTTCGCCAGTCAAAGGAGCGGATGGCAAGCACCGGGAGATTACCGGAAAGCATGCCCGCGTCGTCGGCGAATTGGTGTTCGATTTTGGAAACGTCGCCAATACCCACGGAGGAGAACCACTCGGCCGAGGCAAACAAGGAAGGATGTTCGTGCATGATTTTGTCCTGTAGTTCTTCGAGGGAGGGGTAGTGGCGGGCTACCCAAGAGGGATGATAACCTGGATGGAATGCCAGGTCGGAGACGTCCGAATCAGGGGGACGTCGGGGTATAGGAGGGACGTCGACGGAAGCGCGAGACTTGTTCGCGAAGCCGACACCGGTGCGTCGACGGGCAGTATTTTCGCCCGCGAGCTCAGGAGGTGGAGGACACGTGGGATTCGTCTTGTCCTTGCTCATGCGGAGACCGTCGGTCAGGAATGGAAAAGTAGGGGGTCGAGAAGAGAAGAAGGAGTTGGAGATCAAGGAGTGTAGCCGATGTGCAAGGACGCTCAGAAGGGGGATATGTAGTGCAATACGCACCTGGAAAGGGGGGTGAAAAGAAAGGAAAATATTGGATATGAAAAGTAGTCCGGGTTAGGGGACACACGTGTGAATAATTGCACAGTTTTAATTTTTAATTATTTAATTTTATTTAGTAAATTAGTTAGCATTAATTTTGCTGACACTAGATTAGATCTAGGATCTTGCGCCGCGAGCTACTGTACTGGCTCCGGCCGGGCGATATATACCTTAGCCCTCTGACGACCGAGTCAGTAAAGGTAACCCGAGTTGCCAGAGTTGAATATCGCCTTGGTCGAAGTCCGTCTTTCCCAAGACGCTCCCTTTTACCACAGATTACGTTATCCTTTGCGCTCGGGGGTTCCCTTGTTCTTTTTCCTTTATTTCCCTATCATCTTCTTCTTCTATCTCTATTTTTCCCTTAATTGTGTTGGTTCCACTGGAGTTGGTTGCGACCGATCCGGTGTAGGTGTTTTAGCCATCGGGCAACACGTTGTGTAGCGCTGCTACTGTTTCAAGTTCTGTCGGAAGGCTGTTGCAACGACGCCTCCGTCGAAGGTCTTGCTGTACAAGACAGAGTTGGTACCACCTACCGCGATTGCGATCGCGCTGGTGAGGGTGTTTTTAGCCATCGGGCAACACGTCGGTAGTAGCGCTGCTACACAATTACGATCCCGTCGGGTAGTGCTGAGCAAGCCCCCGTCGAAGACCTTGAATTATACCTAAGGTGCTGAAGACGCTCGTCGAGCATTGGCCTTACAACCCAGCGAACAGCGGTTACATCCTCGTAGACAAGCTCAACCCGCACTCGTCGAGCGCTCAAGTCTTCACAAGTCTCTACCACCATTTTCCTCCCGGGCCGGGCATCTTTCCTTAACCCCCCCGCGTCAGAGTTGAGCTACCGTGGGCCGCAAGCCCACACAAGGAGAAAGGGAGTCTCGAACGCTCTGTAGCGCGTGCCATCGGCAGTGGTTGTTGCTGTTGTTGTTTTTCGTCTTTTTGTCTGACCGTCGGACTGTGTTCGCGGCCTGCCAGGCACATTTCACTACAACACCATCTATCCTTAGCATCTCAAGCTCTAGAGTAACCCCAGAGCTACCGGAGGCACATGAGGAACAAGTAGCTACCCGCGCCTTCCAGACTTTGATCCACAGCAAGAGCCACAACGCAATACCAAGCCCCATCCTGAGGCGGGAGATCCAGTCTGCATATACTACGAGACATCCAGTAAGGCTAAAATAAAGAGGATCAAGGCCACAGTGGTAGAACCCCAGCAGCACCGCGTGCTTGCTAGACGCTCCATGAGTGGACCTCCTATGAGAGCCGCATACGAGTATGTGGGGATAGCTCCGAATAGCGAACTCACGCAAGAGCTTATGACCATGACGCTCGAAGACGAACTGGCCACCGATGAACAAGATGGCGCAGAGGGTCAAACCGAAACTCCTCACAGCATCGCCAGCGACCCAAATCGAGGTGAAACATCGGACAGGGGGTAAAAGAACAGAGTAAATCCCCAGATGCGCCGCTGAGAATGTCCGACAACACCTCTGATCCACTCCTTGCAGACTGCCACCCGCCTATAATCGCACCACCACGCAACGACTCCACAAACATTTTCACAATCAGCCCACTGCTCGAGACAGAAAACCCGACTGCAGATGTTGGCATAACGGAAGTGGAAGGCTCACCACCGCCAAATGCGATCCTAGAATCCGACAGGGCAAATTTATGAGCAAAATATCCCAGACAATTGGAAAAGACCAAGTGGGCCGCAACCGTCTAGAATTCGCCCCGTCCTGGATAGTGAAGGAGGCGTTCAACAAATAACACTCATCCAACTGGGCAGATGCTTACGAAGAAATAGAGGAGTCCCCTGTACCGCCACACGCGAACGTGATCTCATCTCACGTAATCTACAAGGTGAAGACCAGCGATGATGAATCGCAGACACTGAAGGCAAGGATCGTTCCACATGCGAACAGGGAGGTGGAAAAGGATAACATTCGGAAAGACTCATCAACAGCACAATTTGACGTCATCCGTGTGTTACTCGCAGTAACAATCTTCATAGGTATGCGCCTAGCCATGGCTGATATTAAAGGCGCATACTTGCAAAGCAGACCCATCCGACGTGAGATCTACGTCAGATCAGCTACACAATGGAGGGGCACGAGAGGAACGCTCTGGACGCTATCCAAGCTACCCTACGGAATTGTAGAAGCCGGGAGGCAATGGGCGAAAGCGGTAGAAGAATGGATGCTCAAGAGCAGGAGACTAGAACAAGTGCGCCGGCTGAATCAGATATACGTACAACATTTTCCATCAAATTAAGTCTCACAGGTGCGGATCGCTGATTCAAACGTCATTCCTTCTCTGTCCGTCGATGACGTGTGGGGGTGATCCTGTAGACTCCGTGCCTCCTCAGGGAATCCCCTACCTCTCTATCGCCTTGAAAACGCGTCGTGTATCCACTCCTTCCTTTGAAGGGACTCCGCCCTTTGCTCTTCTGGCACGCCTCACTCTGACTTTCCCCCTTCGCACTTCTGCTCTTTCCATCGTCTCCGGTTTCCAGACTCTTCTTGACACGGTCACCCTGGTAGTGCGCGCGCGGCCTGCGGTGGCAGGGGCAACCTCTTCTTCCGAAAATATCTCACAACCGCGCTGCGCGGTAACTGCGCAACCGGTTCCCACGTCGGCTCCTTCGTCCCATACCCATACCACTCCACCCTGAGGATTAATTCCTCACCTTGATTCCCGTGGTCGATGATCTTCTCTATCACATACTCGGCGTCCTTATCATCTCCCTCGCGTCCGGGGTTACTTACTTCCCCCTCCTGAAGATCTTGCGATGTCACTAACTATTCTGAATTAACTATCTTCTGTAGGTCTTGCGGTATCTCCGCTGACCGATTTCGACTAACTAAATTTTCCTCGACCTCTTGTGTCTGCGCCCGCGCGTGAGGGTCGTCCTCACTCTCCATCGTGTCGGGTCATTGATCTGTCCCGTGTCCGCTTAGGTACTGTAGGGCCTGATGTAGACCTGATGTGGGCGCTTGTTCCATCGGACTTGGGGCCAGTTCTCCTCGATCTCGCGAAACGCGTTCCTCCTGATCACCAATGGCGATGACAACCGAATTCCTGTCTGACTGCTTGAATGCATACGGACCCGTGGCCACTTGTGTCAGCTTATGCTTTGGTTCCGTAGCCGTACCTTGCTCCTTTCGAAGGAACACGTAGGACCTTACGGGTATGTCGTACTTCGGCTTGCGAAGTCTCGCATCGAAATTTCGCTTATATCTCGCCTGTTCCTTGCGTAGGCTCCTGTCCGCGGTCTTCACCAGACTCTCAAACCATGATTGCCATTTTGGATAATAGGCTCTCGGGGAACCAAATTGTTCCAAATGAGGTTGCGCCTTAAGCGCAAGGCTTCTCGGTGCCCGAGCTAATACCGGCTCAAATGGGGCGATCATCGCCAACACACAAGTTCATCGAACTACGAACATCATGTTCGTAGTTCGATGAACTTTTGTGTTGTAGGCGAACGTCACCGCGTCACTAAACAAGTCCCAATCCTTCGGATGGTCTCCAATATACTTCCGTACCGCGGACAATATAGTCCGATTAAATCTCTCCACTTGGCCGTTGGCTTGCGGGTGGTACTTAGTTGTAAAGACATTCCTGATGCCCAGAATTCGGCAAATATTCTGGAAGTACTTGGCTGTGAACTGCGTCCCATTGTCGGACAGCAGCTTCACAGGGGGTCCATAAATGAAAACCCAGTTGTGTACAAAGGCCTGCGCAATGTGCGCGGCGGAAATCTTCTTCAACGGTACGGTCCGTACCAACTTCGAATAGCGGTCGCTGATCACTAAAATGTACCAGTTGCCCCGACTTGTGGTCATGAGCTCTCCGAGTATATCAATCGCGACAAATTCCAATGGGGCGTTCGGCGTGAACAGCTGCATCTCCTTCGCGTTCTTCCTGAGCTTCACTCTTTCTCGCGCGCAATCCGCGCACTTCCTAGCTACCGCGTAGCAATCCAGCGCCATTGTAGGCCAATTAAACGATCTTCTCAAGGTCTTATACAGTTTCCTGCCTTCTGGGTGCCATGCTAATTTAGCATAGTGGCTTAACCCTAGGACACGGTCCTTCAGTGATTGTGGTATTACCACTTGTACGAACTCCGCAGAGGTTCGACATAAAATTCCTTCAAATTCCTCGGCCTCCGTTGTGAACGAATTCGTTCTTCCTTCTTCCATTTCCTCCTTAGTTTGAATACAGAAAGGGTAAACGTCCTGCTCGCGTAGAAGCTCCTCCGGAGCGATGGCTTCGAATTGATCGAGAAGATGCGAGGCGGCCCCCCCTTCAAGAGCGAGGAGCTCGTCTAACCGGTCAAAGCCTTCGCGTTAGTCCTCCAGGGCTTCCACTTGTTCCACCATGGAACATGGTATCTCCTCGTCGACATCGTTGCTAGTTTCGCCCTTCGTCAACAATCTTGACAACGCGTCCGCTTTCGTGTTTACCTTTCCTTTCTTGTATTTGATCTCAAAATCAAATTCCGAGAGGCGTAGCCTCCATAAGATTAAACTTCCACTAGAGTCCGTTACATTCATCAACCACCTCAACGAGGAGTGGTCGGTATGCACTATGAAGTGCTCCCCGTATAAATACGGTCTCAAGGTCTGGACGGCCCAAATGACCGCCAAACATTCTTTTTCGGATACAGAATAATTCCTTTCGGCAGCAGCCAGCGTTCTCGAAAAGAACCCGATGGGTTTACGCTGTGCATCACGATGCGTTTGAAAAAGCGCGGCCCCAATATGATAATCGCTCGCATCGGTGTCCACTGAATACGGGAGGCCCTTCCTTGGCAACGCCAGCCCCGGTGGTGCTAAAATGGCGTCCTTGAGCTCGTGGAAAGCTGCGTTGCACGGTTCGTTGAACTCCGCGATTTGGACCGGTTGTCCCTTCTTCAGCAGTTGGTTTAACAGATGCGCGATTTTCGCGTACTGTGGGACAAATCTTCGATATACGATACACAAGCCGAGAAAGCTCCTCAGCCGTGTTTGTGTTTGAGGGTATCTCACTTGTTGCGAGGCCGCGGTGCGGGCGGCATCGACTTCTAACGTGCCGGGCCGTACTACATGGCCAAGATACTTCATTCTTCCGGCGAAAAATTCGCACTTGCGCAGCTTCAGATTGACTCCTGCTTTCTACAGAACTGAGAGGATTTCGTCAACATGGATCATGTGCTCCTCCCAAGACTGGCTGAAGATAAATGATGTCGTCTAAATAGACTACGCAAGATTTCCAACGGAAAGGCGAGAGAAAAATAACCATTGCTCTCTGAAACGTCGCTGGTGCATTTGTAAACCCAAAGGGCATTCATTCGAATCGATATAAACCGGAATGACATGAAAAGGCCGTCTTGTCACGGTCATTCTCTGGAATTGGCATCTGCCAATATCCTGAAATGGCGTCCAACGCTGAAAAAACTTTGGTGTCACCAAGCGAGTCTAAACACTCGTCCATTCTTGGTAAGTGGTACGTATCCCTAACTGTAACTGCATTCAATTTCCGATAGTCGACGCAGAAGCCCATCGATCCATCCGGTTTCGGAACCAGCAATACGGGCGATGCCCACTCTGATTGTGCCGGCTCAAAAACTCCTGCATCCAGCATCTTCTGCACCTCTAATTCTTCCATCTCCCGGGCCTTCGGTCCGGCCCGGTACGGAGCTCGCGCGATGGGGCGAGTCTCTGGGGTCAACTCAATCGGATGGACCGTGATGTTGATCTCTCCGAGAGTCCCGTCCCACATGCATCAATACTTCTTCAACCTCTGACGAAATCTTTCGCGCAGCCGGTCTGGCACGTGGCTCAGGTCGAGTTCCTCCACGTCCGGCGGTGGGGGCACGATCCGTCGTTCCGGCTTCGTAGATACTGTCGCGGAGAGCTCGTCCGACCGTTCCTCCAGGCGGTCCTCGCGTTCTTGTTCCGACGATGTACTTCTTCTGGCGCCCTTAGGCGGCGAGGTAGAAGAAAAAAATTTCCTCTGTCCTCTCTTGAACTACAAGCACTTCTGCGATTGTAGTCTTGCTTTCCAACACGGCCCTTGAGTGGGGTAGAATCTCTGCTACTACATGACCCGTCTGAGCCCTGACAGGATACTGTCTAAAGTTCGCCACTAATATGCGAAATGGCCTGTCAGGCTCCACTTGAGCCACCCCGTTTGAACTCTCCAACCCGTGCTTGTCGTACAGAGGTGAGTAGGGCTGGACCACGACGAGACCGTTTCTTTTTGAAACACATTGCACTACTTGCTGCGTCCCCGGTTCAATCGTCGTCGCCTTGGCCACTTTCACTTTTGGGGATATCCTTTCCCCTTTTCCATCTTCCTCGTCCTCTCCCTGAACGAGAGTCCGTTTCCCTTTTCTCGGTGAGAATTTCCGCACAATCGGAACCTCCGAAGAATCCACCAACTCCACCTTCCTCCGAGGGTAAATAGTTTCCACGAACCGATCACAGTAGTCCGCGCCTAGAATTAGCGGCACGGCGAGTTTCTCGCATACTATAAATTCGGCTGTAGCCACAAATCTTCCAAGCCTCACAGGCATCTTGATCGTACCAACGGTTCGAAGCGGCCTGTTATTGTCATCGCCGATGTCCTGCGTGGGTCCAAAGGACACCAGAGTTTCCAGTCCTGCTGGAAGTTCCGATTTCCGAATCAGGTTCGGGGCAGCGCCAGTGTCCAACACGGACAATACGCGGCTCGTTAGCCAGACCGTCGGTCCAATGTCTGCGAAGACCTTATAATTTTTCCTCGCAAGGACTAGAATCTTCTCGGGACACTCCCTACGCTTGACCCTGTACCAGGGGCGTCGGACTTCTGTCAGCGGGTCGTTCTTGCCTCTGCGCAAAAGTTTCTTGACCCGTACGCGTTTTGTCGGCTTGTCAACAATTCCCACTACCTCGTCGTCTGGGACAACCTCCTTCTCCAAAATCGGGGAACGGGACGAAGTCTCGGACATGGTTCGGCCGACACATGTCCCTCCTTCAAACTTGTTTGAGGTTCCCTTCATCAGTTTCCCTGCCGCGGCGGGTTTCTTCTCACGTCTGACGATGACCCTGCGGCCGGCCTTCCCCAAGTTCGGTTCGAACCCTCCCTTGACGCACTCGGCGTGCTCGCGGTTTGCGATTCGAACCATTGCTTCACCTTCAGGTAGCTCGTCGACAGAATTCCCAGCCTCTCCATCGGGGAAAGTGCCTCATAGTTCCCTAGAACTCGATGCATCTCTCGGAACGAGAGCAGGCACGTGGGCGCCCCGTGCCCCTTCTCATGGCAATGATAGCATATGAGGCCATGGGTCTTCTGAGGGTACGGCGGCCTCGACGTCCCGCGGGCCGGAGGCCTTCCTGACCACCCCGGCCTTTGGAAATTCGTACCCTTGTCCTCCATTGGAATTCTTGGAGGCGGCGCGTGACCGCGCCCCTGAAATGACAACACGGGATCCGTGGCCTCCGTATACAAGTCGTCCGTATACGTGCGCGTCGGTAGTGTTGACGCGTCGCCCGAACAGTCTTCTCCGTATCCATTTCCATCCCATGTTCCAATAAAATCTCCTTCGGCGATAAACGCCTTTCCATAACCAGTTCCGTCCCGGCTCCGATAATTTCGTTCTTCTGATCCAGAAATTGACTCGGCCAGGTTGACAGGGCCGCGAATTTTTCTGGATAGGGGTCCGCCCTTGCGGTTGGCTCCCGTCCGCAGCGATGCTGGTGCTTGTATCGTCACCCTTTTGGTCTTCTTTTCCCTTGAGCGGCTCGCTGACCCGGGGGCCTTTCCGTAGTTAACCAATCTTAGGAAGGAGACGTTCCTGTTATCCTATCGATATTGAGACACCATCGGCTTAATACTTGCGTCAAGCCCTTCGATGGACATCGCCATCTGCTCTTCCATGGAATAAACATTCCTGCAACGATTACTCGCGTCTGTCAGACGAATGTAGAATTACATCTCGTCTTCAGACCGTCGCTGCTGGACTTCTCGCAATGCGAGTACGGCTTGGCGGATCGCTTCGTCAGTGACGAAACTTCGTAGTAGCCACTGTACAGCCTCCGGCCAGACGAAAACCTTCCCATGATGGGACCCGTCCGTCTGTGACACAGAGGTGTACTGTCTTAGGGCAATCCTGCCGAGGGACTCCGGCAACAAGCGGATCGCTTGACCTTCAGTCATCTCCTGCGCGTCGAATTCTTGTACCAGCTTGGCCAAAAAATCGAAAACAAGGACTCCGTCTTCGCCTGTGAAGGTGTTGTCCCTTTTCACCTTCGGCTGTATATCCCGTCGGATTTTCGCACGGCGGTTCGCCGGGAGCTCGACAGGTAGGTCTGCGGGTTCCGTAGACGATACGTCCGATACGAAAGTAATTTCTTGAAGAGATGGTTGGTCGGAGTCAGCTCCTCCAACCCCTCCCATCGCGGTCCGCGTAGCGTCGCGATATCTGCTGGCTCTGCGTCCAGATTTCTCCGTGAGGCGGATGACGTAATTCCGCCTCTTCTGGAGGTCTTCTTATTTGATGAAATTCCATTCCCTTCTGCTGATCGCCGGTCGGAATTTCGTGAGTGGTCCGACGAGCCGTCACCACTCATTTCTGCGGAAACCTTCGACTCCGAATTTGAGTCGCAATTTTCTCGCCCGTCACCGAAGTGACTTTTCTTCCTTCGGCCTCTGGCCGACTTGGAACTTCTCCTCCTGGAGTTCCCGTTTTGGACTAAATTGTCCTCCCTCGTTGGATCGTCGGGTTCGCCATCGGCGAGCGTCCCTGAATCCAACCTTGGTCCGGACCGGCCTGCAGCTTGCTCAAGGTCCTTGAGTCGTCGCGCGGTGCGGCCGAACTTCTCATCGATGCTGTCCCTTGTCTTGGCCAGCGTTTCCAAGGCCTGATTGGCATCTCGCCGCGCTTCTTTCGCGGCGAGTTTCAGCGAATCGAGCACCTCGGGGTCGCGGCCCTTAGGTGCATCGGTAAATAAATTCTCAACGAGAACCACACGAGCTGTCAGCTCTTTTAACGCAGTGTGGAGCTCGGATTTTAGCAACTCCTCTTGCTTCTGAAAAATACCCAGTCGTGTTCAAATTTCTTCTTTGTCTCCTGACGAAGTTCTTCGCTCAAAATTCGTAGACTTTCTTTCAGATCATTCTTCTCGACTTGTGTCCCCAACGGGGACTCTTTCTCTCCGGGGTCGGCGACCGAGTTGGCCTGGCTACGCGTACGCGGCCCTAGTGGGATTCGCGAACCCGGCACCGATCCGGTTCTTCTCACTACGAAACCAGTGTCCCTCGGTTGGCTTGAAGCCATGGCCCGTTCTCAATAAACGCAACCCTTCGAATAATTTCCTAGACTTGAAATTATGAACTCTACCTTTCAGATCGTACTTTCCAGACGTGCAGGGAGACCAATATTGTGGGGCTATCCCTATGTCGGAATTATTGTACGCTAATTCTAGGTCTGGACACCACCTTTGTGGTGCAATGCGCCTGGTTGGCAGTGGACAAGGTCGAAGACCCTCACGGCCCGAAAACAAACAAACAAACGAAACAACCAAAGCAGCCGGCGGGGCAATACCACGGAGTGTTCGTAGCTCCCTTTCCCTTTATGCTGGCTTGCGGCCCGCGGTAGCTCGAATCCCGAAAAGGGGGGGCAAAGGAAGAAAAGCCCGGTCCGGGATTATAGTTGTGGTAAAGACTTGAAAAGGCAAATGCTCGACGAGTGCGGGGTGTCTAGGCAGACCGAACCCGATGGGTCGTAAATCCAATGCTCGTGGAGCGCCTTGATACGTTAGACTCTTGATATGGTCTTCGATGGGGACGTCGCAACGTAGCCCGTCGGGAAAGAAGAAAACGTAGCAGCGCTACGCCGTCGTACTGCCCGATGGCAAAGTACCAACACCGGATCGGTCGCAACCAGATTCCGATGGAACCAACTCTGAGAAAAGCACCACTGTGGCACCAATACAGAAGCCCGACGGCTAATGACGTCACGTTGCGGATCGCAATCCTACAAGGTGGGACCAACTCAAGATTAAGGGAAATTAGGATAGGGAAATAAAGGAAAAAAAGGGGACCCCCGAGCGCTGAAGGACGCCGTAGGCTTAGGTAAAAGGGAGCGTCTTGGTAGAGACGGACTTCGACCAAGGCGACATTCAACTCCGGCAACTCGGGTTACCTTTACTGACTTGGTGGCCAGTGGGCTAAAGTATATAGATCGCCCCGCCGGAGCCACTACAGTAGCTCGCGGCGCTAGATCCTGAATCTAATCTAATGTCAGGCAAATTAATGCTCACTAATTAACTAAACAAAATTAATAATTAAAATAAAAACTGTGC